GCCCTCAAATAACTTCACTGGACCTTATGCAAACTGGAAACCACATATCCTGAGGCTGCATTTATTGTAGCCAGGGATTTTAACAAAGCAAATTTGAGGACTAGGCTGCCGAAGTTCTATCAACATATCGACTGTTGTACTCGCGCTGCTAAAATCCTCGACCATTGCTATTCAAACTTCCGGGATGGTTATAAGGCCCTCCCCCGCCCTCTTTTCGGCAAATCTGACCACGACTCCATTTTGCTTCTCCCTTCCTATAGGCAGAAACTCAAACAGGAAGTACCTGTGCTAAGGACTATTCAACACTGGTCTGACCAATCGGAATCCACGCTTCAAGATTGTTTTGATCACATGGACTGGGATATGTTCCGGGTAGCTTCCGAAAATAATTTAGACATATACACAGAAACAGTGACTGAGTTTATCAGGAAGTGTATAGGTGATGTTTTGCCCACTCTGACTACTAAAACCTACCCTAACCAGAAACCGTGGATAGACGGCAGCATTCGCGCAAATCTGAAAGCGCGAACCACCGCATTCAACCATGGCAAGGTGACTGGGAATATGGCAGAATACAAACAGTGTAGCTACTCACTCCGCAAGGCAATTAAACTGGCAAAACATCAGTATAGAGACAAAGTGGAGTCGCAATTCAACGGCTCAGACACGAGACGTATGTGGCAGTGTCTACAGACATTCACGGACTACAAAAAGAAAACCAGCCATGTCGCCGACACCGACGTCTCGCTTCTAGACAAGCTAAACACCTTCTTTCGTCCGCTTTGAGGATAACACAGTGCCACTGACGAGGCCCACTACCAAGGACTGTGGCCTCTCCTTCTCCATGGCCGACATGATTAAGACATTTAAGCATGTTAACCCCCGCAAGGCTGCCGGCCCAGACGGCATCCCTAGCCGCGTCCTCAGAGCATGTGCAGACCAGCTGGCTGGTGTGTTCATGGACATATTCAATCTCTCCCTTTCCCAGTCTGCTGTTCCCACATGCTTCAAGAGGGCCACCATTGTTCCTGTACCCAAGAAAGCAAAGGTAACTGAACTAAATTACTATCGCCCTGTAGCACTCACCTCTGTCATCATTAAGTTCTTTCAGAGACTAGTCAAGGATCATAATATAATAATATAATATGCCATTTAGCAGACGCTTTTAGCCAAAGCGACTTACAGTCATGCGTGCATACATTTTTGTGTATGGGTGGTCCCGGGGATCGAACCCACTACCTTGGCTTTACAAGCGCCGTGCTCTACCAGCTGAGCTAGGGTGACCTTACCTAGACCCACTTCAATTTGCTTACCACCCCAATAGATCCACAGACGATGCAATTGCCATCACACTGCACACTGCCCTATCCCATCTGGACAAGATGAATAGCTATGTCAGAATGCTGTTCATTGACTATAGCTCAGCATTCAACACCATAGTACCCTCCGAGCTCATCATTAAGCTCGAGGCCCTGGGTCTGAACCCCGCCCTGTGCAACTGGGTCCTGGACTTCCTGACGGGCCGCCCCCAGGTGGTGAAGGTAGGAAACAACATCTCCACTTCGCTGATCCTCAACACTGGGGCCCCACAAGGGTGCATGCTCAGCCCCCTCCTGTACTCCCTGTTCACCCATGACTGCGTGGCCAAGCACGACTCCAACTCAATCATCAAGTTTGCAGATGACACAACAGTAGTAGGCTTAATTACCAACAATGACGAGACCGCCTACAGGGAGGAGGTGAGGGCTCTGGGAGTGTGGTGCCAGGAAAATAACCTCTCACTCAACATCAACAAAACAAAGGAGATGATCGTGGACTTCAGGAAACAGCAGAGGGTGCACCCCCCAATCCACATCGACGGGACCGCAGTGGAGAAGGTGGAAAGCTTCAAGTTCCTTGGCGTACACATCACTTACAAACTGAAATGGTCCACCCACGCAGACAGTGTGGTGAAGAAGGCGCAACTGGCTTATCACCTAAAACCCTCACAAACTTTTACAGATGCACAATTGAGAGCATCCTGTCGGGCTGTATCACCGCCTGGTACGGCAACTGCAGGGCTCTCCAGAGGGTGGTGCGGTCTGCCAAACGCATTACCGGGGGCAAACTACCCGCCCTCCAAGAAACATAGAGCACCCGATGTCACAGGAAGGCCAAAGCATCAAAGCTGGGACCGAGAGAATGAAAAACAGCTTCTATCTCAAGGCCATCAGACTGTTAAATAGCCATCACTAGCACATTAGAGGCTGCTGCTGCCTATTGAAATCACTGGCCACTTTAAGAAATGGAACACTAGTCACTTTAATAATGTTTACATATCTTGCACTACTCATCTCATATGTATATACTGCATTCTATTCTATAATATTATTCTGTATCTTAGTCCATGCCACTCTGTCATTGCTTGTCCATATATGCATATATTCTTAAATCCCATTCCTTACTTTTTTGTGTGTATTGGGTATATGTTGTGAAATTGTTAGATATTACTGCACTGTCGGAGCTAGAAGCACAAGCATTTCGCTACACCCGCTATAACATCTGCTAAACATGTGTATGTGACAAATATTTGATTTCCAACAAGTCAGTTCCTCAAATTTCTGCTCTGCTAGAGCTGCCCCGGTCAACTGTAAGTGCTGTTATTGTGAAGTGTAAACGTCTAGGAGCAAAAACGGCTCATCCGCGAAGTGGTAGGCCACACAAGCTCACAGAATGGAACCGGCAAGTGCTGAAGCGCGTAGCGCGTAAAAATAATCTGTCCTACGTTGCAACACTCACTACCCGAGTTCCAAACTGCCTCTGGAAGCAACGTCAGCAAAATAACTGTTCGTCGGGAGCTTCATGAAATTGGTTTCCATGGCCGGGCAGCCGTACACAAGCATAAGATCACCATGCACAATGCCAAAGGTCGGCTGGAGTGGTGTAAAGCTAGCCTCCTCTGGAGCAGTGGAAACGCGTTCTCTGGAGTGATAAATTACGCTTCACCGTCTGGCAGTCCGACGTACGAATCTGGGTTTGGCGGATGCCAGGAGAACGCTACCTGCCCCAATGCAGAGTGCCAACTGTAAAGTTTGGTGGAGGAGGAATAATGGTCTGGGGGCTGTTTTTCATGGTTTGGGCTAGGCCCCTTAGTTCCAGTGAAGGGAAATCCTAACGCTACAGCATACAATGACATTCTAGATGATTCTGTGCTTCCAACTTTGTGGCAACAGTTTTGGGGAAGGCCCTTTCCTTTTTCAGCATGACAATGCCCCCGTGCACAAAGCGAGGTCCATACAGAAATGGTTTGTTGAGTTCTGTGACATTAAAATGTTTAATGGTATTTTTCATCAGTTGTTTTATATGAAATGTCATTACCACAACTCTAAGTCATTACCATCACGGTACATATTTTTGAGGCAAAGGTGTATTAAATTACAATTGATATTGATGATTTTTCCCATATGTGAACCTTATATGCTTGTTCTTAAGATAATTTCTAAAGTAATATAAAATATTAAGATTTTGATGTGGTAAATACATGTTTCTGAGTATCATCAATGCATATATGGACATTTAGACATGACAATGATGAATACATATAATTAAGAAAACTTCCAAATAGTATAAATGTCCCCTCAGGTATTTGGGGAAACCGATAAAAATCTTTATATTCTTAAATAGTATGGTGTCAGCCACTATTAGATCTTGTTTCCAGACAGAGTGAAGAAAATATTCAGATAGAAAAAAATCAGTTTCAAGAGGTTTCATTTTCCAAAACATTTAACTTCCATAAGTGCCCGAATTTGCAAAATCAACAGTATTTCAACTAAATGTTTCAAGGACAAAATTACATGTATTTAAGTATTTTTGTTGATGTACTCTAAAAAAATACTTTAAGGAAAATGTTTGTATATAGTTTTTTATTTTTTTATTTTATGTGTAGCTCACATAATGTAATTTAAAAGTATGCATTAAGGTGTCTGTAATAGAATAAACATATCAAAAAAGAATGTAGACATTAATAAATATATTTCTATAGCTTCCAAAATATTTTTTACACTTGAGGAGGAGTGCCAAGATGGCTGCCTGTTGGCTTCAATACAGTGCACCCTGTCAGTCATCCAGGGTTTATACACATCATTGGTTATGACATATCAGAGCAACATCATTGGTACCAAAGGGATGTTCTGTTCTACTATCTTGCATCACTCTCCCATGTTGGGTTACATATTAGTCTACTGAAAACCTAGTCCAAGTAGGTTTCTATTGCACATAACACTGGCTTTTGAGTACCGTGTGTGAATCAGTGTACATTGAGATCGCAAGTCTGCACACAACAACAGGGATTCAATGTATTAATATTTACATCTGTGATAAGAAACTCTATACAAAAAATAAGTCAATTGTGGTCATGTCAGATCAGTTAACCATTGCTGTCCCAATGGGCACAGACGTCAATTCAACGTCTATTATACGTTGGTTCAACATAATTTGATTTGATTTGATTGAAATTATGTGGAAACAACGTTGATTAAACCAGTGTGTGCCCAGTGGTGTGTTTTTCGTAAGGGGATTTCCCTAAGTCAGTCAGCTCCTTCTTTATTCTAGCTATCGGGTGATTTCACAGGAGGTTGGTGGTACCTTAATTGGGGAGAACGAGCTTGTGGTAATGACTGGAGCGGAATAAGTGGAATGTCATCAAATACATCAAACACATGGTTTCCAGGTGTTTAATGCCATTCCATTTGCTCCGTTGCATCCATTATTATGAGCTGTTCTCCCCTCAGCAGCCTCCTGTGTGTGATTTACAATAGTCCTATGAATCTGCAGCCTCTGTCCTCTCAGTCTCTTGAAGTGAAAACTGAGGCTCAGAATGCTGATAATTTGATGACAGTTTTGTCCTTGGAAAACAGGATGCCCCTTCTAATCTGTTGCTAGTACTGTCCATGTTGCAATCAACTTTATCAGCATATTTTTCAACCATGTCCTCCAAGTCTACAAAGGAAAGCACAAAGAAGTTATTCAGCCATAGATTTGAACATGTCTTTAGTTGTTGTTGACAGATTACTCTTTGTCAACAACCACACAGACTCATAATAGCTGAAGAATTGCAAAGGAAGTCTGTACCAGACTTTTACTACTCACACTTCAGCACTGTCTTGTACACCTGTGTGTAGCCTCGCTCTGGGTTCTTGCTCAGGTCTTTGTAGTAGTAAAAGCGTAGCTCCTTTGGGTACTGAGAGTAAGACAGGTTGAGGACCAGGGGAATGATCCGGTTGGACATGGGCCCCTCAGACAGCGCCTGGTGCATCATGTACTGGCACCAGTCATCCAGCAGGAAGTTGGGGGTGATGAGAAAGGCCCAGCAATGGCTGCTCTGCACAGCCTGGCATAGCTCGGTGGTGATGGCACCCCCCACGCTGGCGTCACGTTGCCGCAGGAAACAGCGCAGGCCACATGCCGGGTTCTCCAGATATGAGGCCAGATGGATGGCTTCTTCGATGTCCACAGGGCTATGGCACACACACAAGTCGTAGGTCTGGCTCCAACGAATCATGGAACTCAGAAAGGGTGGTGGTGGGTTAGGAGTGGAAGTGGGAGCCAATGATGAGGCACCATCAACAGAAGGGGATGGGGCCCTGACCGGTACATGTGGAGAGGAGCTGCTCTGTGGATACTCTTTTTTAGGTTTCACTAAGAGTTGACGGAACCAACCTGAAACAAGAGAATTAAACATGGGTCCTTTCCAGTGGTGTAAAGTACTTAAGTAAAAATACTTTAAAGTACTACTTATGTAGTTATTTGGGCTATTTGTATTCTACTTTACTATTTATATTTTTGATTACTTTTACTTCACTACATTCCTAATGAAAATAATGTACTTTTTACTCCATACATTTTCCCTGACACCCAAAAGTATTTGTTACATTTTGAATGCTTAGCAGGACAGGAAAATGGTCAAATTAACGCACTTATCAAGAGAACATCCCTGGTCATCCCTACTGCCTCTGATCTGGCCGACTCACTAAACACACATGCTTCGTTTGTAAATGATGTCTGAGTGAGCCCCTGGCTATCCGTAAAAAATAAAATAATAAAATAATAATAATATATATATATATATATATATATATATATATATATATATATATATATATATATATATATGGTGCCATCTGGTTTGCTTAATATAAGGAATTTGAAATGATTTATACTTTTACTTTTGATACTTAAGTAATTTTAGCAATTACATTTACTTTTTATACTTAAGTATATTTAAAACCAAATACTTTTAGACTTTTACTCAAGTATTATTTTACTGGGTGACTTTTACTTTTACTTGAGTCATTTTTTATTAAGGTATCTTTACTTTTAATCAAGTATGACAATTGGGTACTTTTTCCATCACTAGTCCTTTCACAACATAACTGTTTATCAAAACACACAAGTTTGATCTTGTATAAATATCACATTCGTGAATAGATTATCTTGTTGTTAAGATGATCAACTACAAACAGTACATGTGGTTTAGGAGAAGAAAAAACATCAACTTACCATACATGTTCTTGACATCATTCTCCAGACTATTCAAATGTTGTACCCCCAATAAGAAAAACTGTACTGAAATATCCTTCATATTTTATTTATTTATTTATTTTAATAGATGTGCTGCTCTGTATACACACTAAGCACTTAACAGAGAGTTAATCACAAAACATGAATGCTCCTTATTGAAGTAAAAAAGAAAAGTTAAATACAGTAACTACAAAAAATGTAATATAACTTGCAAATATAACACACCAAAGGTTTCCCTGATACTCTCAGCGGAAAAAGAGGAAGCTGAATCTGTAGCAGCTGCAGCTCTCTGTTTGTCTAAATGTCTTGATTCCCACAAGGCACAATGTCTCTCATTAAATTGCAATGTAGATCTGTTTTTTTATCCATAGTGCAGGGCAGGAGAGGTCTAGCCTATACTTCCACAGACTAAAAATAATCCAACTGTAGCCTGTTTCCTTGCGTAGACTACTTGGTCGTCAATCCTCAGTCCTGGAACTGCAGATTCAGTTAGAATCAAATCATGTAGTAGGCAATCAAATAGGGAACTATGTACGCAACAGGAAGGAAGTCAGGCAGTAACCCTTTTAGCCACAACTTTCACAGACGTGATGTACAGCTGTTTAATGCTCTGTCATGCATGTAGGCTACTGTATTTATTTCTCTACATTTTTACAACACAAGCCATACTGATAGTAGCCTATTATATTATTATGTTATCTGAAGGAAATACTGTTCTGTTGTCTACCCAATACCATCAGATTTATCAGACATATTCTCAAAAGTGTGAATACAGACCAAAACCTACAGTACCAGTCAAAGGTTTGGACACACCTACTCATTCAAGGGTTTTTCTTTATTTTTACTATTTTCTACATTGTAGAATAATAGTGAAGACATCAAAACTATGAAATAATACATATGGAATCATGTAGTAGAAAATAATAAAAATAAAGAAAAACCCTGGAATGAGAAGGTGTGTCCAAACTTTTGACTGGTACTGTATATCATCTGCAAAAGTGAACAATTTCGTAGCCAGAGTGTGTAGGTAGTGTGTGTCCTTTTAGTGGTCAAGAAGATCTGTCTTTCAACCAAATGTCGGTCTTTCAAATCGATTGACACACCAGTAAGAGCATAATATGACACAATCTACTTTTGAGAAGGGAGAAATTTACAAAACAACAATGTACATTTCCATGTGAGATTGGTAAAATAACTCTAAAATGGCCTTTAATAAATGACTGACACTTCTCATCAGAAAGATGGATTTAGCAGCTTGTCCAAGAGGAGGACTAACATAAGCTTTTCTTTTGGAGCAAAGAAAAAGATTGATTAGGGCTAGGCCTACATGTCAGTATTGTATGTGAGTTGATCCCATTACAGTAATTCTAGTACCATAGGATCATCTGATCTGCAATAAGAGTTGTGTTTTGCATTGCAGAGCTCGTTTAGAGATGGAAGCGGAAGCGAGACACCCCACTCACTGGTGGGGGTTTTTTCCCCAAGGGAAGGCATTTTCTTGCTATCCATGTCACCACAAATCTAATAGTGTTTAAAAATTACTATTTTTTAAATGTTTTAACTTTTGATGATGTCATCGGGTAGAACTTTTTAACCTGATATTTTTTTCACATTATTTTGACACTGGTATTGTGCAGGAAATCATGAAAATGAGGTTGAAAAGTGGTGGAGTTGCCCTTTAAGAAGATACATTGTAGAAATGGGCGGGGTTTATACATTTACATTTTACATTTACGTCATTTAGCAGATGCTCTTATCCAGAGCCACTTTGTGGCTGTGGTAACTAGTGACAACTACCATCTACAGAAATGGAACATAAATCACAGAAAAGCGATGATTGTATGCTGATGATGGGGCTGTATGGAAGAGAGGTGGGACTGTGAAATATGTGATGAGGAAGATGCAAGAAGCTGTGGGAGTTGTGGAAGATTGGTCTATAACATGGGAGTTTAGGATGTCTGTGGCCATGTCCTGCTTTATTGTGTTTTCTAGGAGGAAGGTTAAAGATGTTAGGCTGCAAATATACGGTCAGGAGATAGGTAGGGTGTCTCAGTTTAAGTATTTAGGTATGTGGTTTGATGAGAGGCTCACGAGGAAGAGACATGTTGAGATATTGAAATTAAGTGTAGGAAGGTGCTGAACCTCATGAAGGCAGTGGCAGGTTATCATTGGGGGTCAGATAGACAAACACTGTTGTGTATGTATCAGGCATTGATCAGATCATCTTTGGTTTATGGTTGCTTTGTATATGGATTGGCAGCCAAAACGGTACTACAGCGTTTGGATAGGATACAATCAAGGGCGCTGAGATTGTGTGTGGGTCCATTCAGGACGACACCTGTTGAGGCATTACAGGTGGATAGTGGGGAACTGCCACTGAGGATAAGGCGGGACAAACTTGCATTAGCGTACTGGGCGAGGTTAAAAGGGAGATCAGAAGGACATCCTGCGATCATGGCAACTGGGGAACGCTGGGAGCGAGGAGTGGGTAAGCAGAGGGCGTACGGGTGGACAATTGTGCAGAAAGTGATAGAATATGGACTGGGGGAGACAGAGAGGGAAGGCAATTACACTGGGAAATGTTTCTCTGTGGCTGTTTCCGAAAACAAGTGTAGATATGGATATGATTGAGGGTAGGAGAGAATGGGGTGAGGACGTGAGATGGAGCGTGGAGAGATACAGTGCATTCGGAAAGTATTCAGACCCCTTGACTTTTTCCACATTTTGTTATATTACAGCGTTATTCATTGTATTTGTCCCTCATCAATCTATACACTATACCCCATAATGACAAAGCACAAACAAGTTTATAGACATTTTTGCTAAAATAATAAATAAATAAATAAATAAATAAATATCAAATTTACATAAGTATTCAGACCCTTTACTCAGTACTTTGTTGAAGCACCTTTGGCAGCAATTACAGCCTCGAGTCTTCTTTGGTATGACGCTACAAGCTTGGCACACCTGTATTTGGGGAGTTTTTCCCATTCTTCTTTGCAGATCCTCTCAAGCTCTGTCAGGTTGGATGGGGAGTGGCGCTGCACAGCTATTTTCAGGTCTCTCCAGAGATGCTTGATCGGGTTCAAGTCCAGGTTCTGGCTGGTCCACTCAAGGACATTCAGAGATCCGAAGCCACTCCTGCGTTGTCTTGGCTGTGAGCTTAGGGTCGTTGTCCTGTTGGAAGGTGAACCTTCGCCCCAGTCTGAGGTCCTGAGCAGGTTTTCATTTTATTTTATTTTTTTATTTCACCTTTATTTAACCAGGTAAGCCAGTTGAGAACAAGTTCTCATTTACAACTGCGACCTGGCCAAGATAAAGCAAAGCAGTGCGATAAAAACAACAACAAAGAGTTACATATGGGGTAAAACAAAACAAAGTCAAAAATACAACAGAAAAAATATATATACAGTGTGTGCAAATGTAGCAAGTTATGGAGGTATGGATCTCTCTGTACTTTGCTCCGTTCATCTTTCCCTCGATCCTGACTAGTTTCCCAGTCCCTGCCGCTGAAAAACATCCGAACAGCATGATGCTGCCACCACCATGCTTCACCGTAGGGATGGTGCCAGGTTTCCTCCAGACGTGACGCTTGGCATTCAGGCCAAAGAGTTCATCTTGGTTTCATCAGACCAGAGAATGTTGTTTCTCATGGTCAGAGAGTCCTTTAGGTGCCTTTTCGCAAACTCCAAGAGGTCTGTCATGTGCCTTTTACTAAGGAGTGGCTTCTGTCTAGCCACTCTACCATAAAGGCCTGATTGGTGGAGTGCTGCAGAGATGGTTGTCCTTCTGGAAGGTTCTCCCATCTCCACAGAGGAACTCTGGAGCTCTGTCAGAGTGACCATCAGGTTCTTGGTCACCTCCCTGACCAAGGCCCTTCTCCCCCGATTGCTCAGTTTGGCCGGGCGGCCAGCTCTAGGAAGAGTCTTGATGGTTCCAAACTTCTTCCATTTAAGAATGTGTTCTTGGGGATCTTCAATGCTGCAGAAATGTGTTGGTACCCTTCCCCAGATCTGTGTCTCGACACAATCCTGCCTCGGAGCTCTACGGTCAATTCCTTTGACCTCATGGCTTGGTTTTTGCTCTGACATGCACTGTCAACTGTGGGACCTGAAATAGACAGGTGTGTGCCTTCCAAATCATGTCCAATCAAATGAATTGACCAAAAACCTGTTTTCGCTTTGTCATTATGGGGTGTTGTGTGTAGATTGATGAGGAAAAATAAATAATTTAATCCATTTTAGAATAAGGCTGTAACGTAACAAAATGTTGAAAAAGTCAAGGGGTCTGAATACTTTCCAAATGCACTGTAACAGTCAAAAGTTTGGACACACCTACTCATTCCAGGATTTTTCTTTATTTTTTACTATTTTCTACATTGTAGAATAATAGTGAAGACATCAAAACTATGAAATAACACATATGGAATCATGTACTGTAGTAACCAAAAAAGTGTTAAACAAAATCAAAATATATTTTATATTTGAGATTCTTCAAAGTAGCCACCCTTTGCCTTGATACAGAAGATAGCCCTATTTAATAAGCAAAGAGAAACGACAGTCCATCATTACTTTAAGTCATGAAGGTCAGTCAATACAGAACATTTCAAGAATTTTGAATGTTTCTTCAAGTGCAGTCGCAAAAACCATCAAGCGCTATGATGAAACTGGCTCTCATGAGGACCGCCACAGGAAGTTACCTCTGCTGCAGAGGATAAGTTCATTAGAGTTATCAGCCTCAGAAATTGCAGCCCAAATAAATGCTTCACAGAGTTCAAGTAACAGACACATCTCAACATCAACTGTTTAGAGGAGACTATGTGAATCAGGCCTTCATGGTCGAATTGCTGCAAAGAAACCACTACTAAAGGACACCAATAAGAAGAAGAGACTTGCTTGGGCCAAGAAACACGAGCAATGGACATTAGACTGGTGGAAATCTGTCCTTTGGTCTGAGGAGTCCAAATTTGAGATTTTTGGTTCCAACCGCCGTGACTTTGTGAGATGCAGAATAGGTGAACGGATGATCTGTGCATGTGTGGTTCCCACTGTAAAGCATGGTGGAGGAGGTGTGATGGTGTGGGGGTGCTTTGCTGGTGACACTGTCAGTGATTTATTTAGAATTCAAGGCACACTTCTGCAGCGATACGCCATCCCATCTGGTTTGCGCTTAGTGGGACTATAATTTGTTTTTCAACAGGACAATGATCCAAAACACACCTCCAGGCTGTGTAAGGGCTATTTGACCAAAAGGAGATTGATGGAGGGCTGCATCAGATGACCTGGCCTCCACAATCACCCGACCTCAACCCAACTGAGATGGTTTGGGATGAGTTGGACCGCAGAATGAAGAAAAAGCAGCCAACAAGTGATCAGCGTATGTGGGAACTCCTTCAACACTGTTGTAAAAGCATTCCAGGTAGCTGGTTGAGAGAAAGCAAAGCTGTCATCAATGAAAAGGGTGGCTACTTTGAAGAATCTAAAATTTAAAATATATTTTGATTTGTTTAACACTTTTTTGGTTACTACATGTGTTGTTTCATAGTTTTGATGTCTTCACTATTATTCTACAATATAGAAAATAGTACAAATAAAGAAAAACCCTAGAATGAGTAGGTGTGTCCAAACTTTTACTGGTACTGTAGAAAATCGGTTTTATTTGTTTTTAAAGGATATATACAGATGGTTCAAAGGATCCAGTCAGTGGTAGGGTGGGGACAGGGGTATATATCCCAGAGTTCAATGTTAGAGTATGTAAGCAGTTAACTGATTATGTGTCAGTGTATGCAGCTGAGTTGATGGCCATGATTATAGGTTTGAGATGGGTGGAGGAGGTGAAACCACTCTGACTGGTGATCTGCTCTGATTCGGCTGCAGTGTTGAGTAGTATGACGACGGGCAGGTCAGAAAGGGGAGACTTATTTGTGGAGATGATGGTGCTGTTAATGGGATTGGAGAGGATGGGAGTGGTGGTAAGCTTTTGCTGGGTTCCCTCCCATGTGGTTGTGGAGAGTAATGAGAAGGCTGATGTGGTGGCTAAGAGTGCGGTGAGGAGAGAGGGGGTAGATATTCAGGTCCTGCTGGGCCACAGGGAAGTCAAGTCCTTAATCCGGGCAAAAGGGCTCGATCTTTGGTAAAGGGAATGGGATGCTAGTAGTAAGGGGAGGCAATTTTATCGCGTGCACCGGTCAGTTAAGGAAAAGGTGGGGAGTATGGGATGTAGGAGAGAGGAAGTTATGTGGAGTAGATTACGGTTTGTGCACACACGTTTGAATGCCACCTTGTGGATGATAGGGAGACATGAAACAGGTCTGTGTGATGAGTGTTTAGTGGAGGAAACGGTGGAGCATGTGTTGATATTTTGTGAACTGTATGACATAGATAGGGAGAGATTGTGTGAAAGGTTTAGAGAGGCTGGACGGGGTTTGGGTGGTGTAGTGGGGGGGGGGGGGGGGGGGGGGGGGGGGGAGTGGTGTCTAGGGCTCTATTTCACTTTCTTAGAGGAACAGGACTAATTAAGATAATTGAATGATGGTAGGCTGTTGGTAGGCTGTGACTGGCCTCACACTCCAGTACAATAGGTGGCAGTGTATGCACCCTAACGTTTGTTGCGATTTGCCAACCCGAACTCAAAGAAGAACAAAATAGATGTGGCAGCAGCTGCAGAGAAGTATTTGGGTATACGAGATTTGACTTCAGAAGACTTACAGGATGTGTTGAGTGGTGGTGTCCCGTCCTCTCAGGCCGTTGGCATGGTGCAGGAGCAGATAGGGTCAAAGTAGTGGAATGGGGTAGTGGGTTTTTAATGAGTGTAGGGTTAGTTGGAAGGGTGTCTTTTTTTTAAAATACAAATGTTCCTTTTCCCCTTTTGTATCACAAAGTATAACGTATGTAGCTCAGTTGGTAGAGCATGGCGTTTGCAACGCCAGGGTTGTGAGTTCGTTTCCCTCGGGGGACCAGTATGAAGAAAAAAAAATGTATGCACTCACTAAGTCGCTCTGGATAAAAGCGTCTGCTAAATGACTAAAATGTAAAAAATGTAAATGATAGTCCAGTTTGGGGCAGTAATTACCACATATTGGATGCCAACAGCCGTTAAACTCTGAAGAAGAAGAAGTACGTCATTTCCTGGTCTTGCAACTGACGTGTCTAAAACCGTTTTAGTGGAGATAGCTAGAATTGGGAGGACATTTTTCATCAGATAGTGTATATCTGATTATATTTCCTTCTGGAGGTGGAAGGCACTTAAAAAGAATCCTCGGCTCACATATTTATTGCGGTGTTTTTTTTCCCCCGTTTCAGGTTTTTGTTAGTGTTTCTTTTCTTTTCTTTACCTTGGTATATTATCTCGTGTACGTGGTGGCAAGATGCTGGATTTCTTCACGATCTTCAGTAAGGGAGGCATAGTGTTGTGGTGTTTTCAGGGAACCGGTGTTACTGAATCCTTCACCGGGCCTGTCAACGCGCTGATCCGCTCCGTGATCCTTCAGGTGAGAAATGCTTTAAAATCAAGGGACACCTGTCATGTTTCCGTGCCGCCTAACCGTGTGTATGGTCTGTTTTTCAGCATGCGCCAGAATGTCGCCACTTCGTCAACAAGCTGGCTAGTTAATTTAGCTAGGTAGCTTTCGTAGATACACATCATGCAAATTTATAATTTGTCTAAACTAAATATGATTTATGTTTTGGTAAAGTTAGCACACTTGTTAGCTAGCTACCTAATGCTAGGAGTGATCTAGCTAGAATATGGTTGCGTAATACAGAAATGGGGGATTTGGGAACTGGGGTTTACACGCGCACAGGTTATTTTGTCAGCCACATCACAATCGCACAGTCTAGTGGGATTATCACAAAATGTAAGGCTATTACTACGTAGCTAGTTTATACTGAACATAAATATAAACGCAACATTAAACAGTTTCAAAGATCATCCTGAATTACAGTTCATGTAACGAAATCTGTCAATTGAAATAATAATAATATAATATGCCATTTAGCAGACGCTTTTATCCAAAGCGATTTACAGTCATGTGTGCATACATTTTTACGTATGGGTGGTCCCGGGGATCGAACCCACTACCCTGGCGTTACAAGCGCCATGCTCTACCAATTGAGCTACAATGGACCAATAAATTCATTAGGCCCTAATCTATGGATTCCACATGACTGGGAATACATCTGTTGATCCCAGATACTTTTTTTAAAAAGGTAGTGGCTTGGTCTGGATTTTTAAAAAACTGTCAGTATCTGGTGTGACCACCATTTGCCTCATGCAGCGCTACATCTCCTTCACATTGAGTTGATCAGGCTGTTGATTGTGTGGTGCGAAGTTGCTGGATTTTTTTTGCGGGAACTGGAACACGCTGTCGTACACGTCGATCCAGAGCATACCAAACATGCTCAATGGGTGACATGTCTGGTGAGTATACAGGCCATGGAAGAACTGGGACATTTTCAGCTTCCAGGAATTGTGTACAGATCCTTGTGACATGGGGCTGTGCGTTATCATGCTGAAACATTAGGTGATGGCAGCGGATGAATGGCACGACAATGGGCCTCAGAATCTCGTCGCGGTATCTCTGTGCATTCAAATTGCCATCGATAAAATGCAATTGTGTTTGTTGCCGTAGTTTATGCCTGCCCATACCATAACCTCACTGTCACCACGGGGCACTTTGTTCACAACGTTGACATCAGCAAACTGCTCGCCCACACAACGCCATACACGTGGTCTGCGGTTGTGAGGCCGGTTGGACATACTACTAAATTCTCTAAAATGACGTTGGAGGTAGAGAAATTAACATTAAGTTCTCTGGCAACAGCTCTGATGGACATTCCTGCGCTCAGCATGCCAATTGCACTCAAAACTTGAGACATCTGTGGCATTGTGTTGTGTGACACAAGTGGCCTTTTATTGTCCCCAGCACAAGATGCACCTGTTTAATCCGTTTCTTGATATGCCACACCTCTTAGGTGGATGGATTATGTTGGCAAAGGAGAAATGCTCATCTAACAGGGATGTAAACAAATTTGTGCCAAACATTTGAGAGAAATAAGCTTTTTGTGCGTATGGAACATTTCTGGGATCTTTTATTTCAGCTCATGAAACATTGGACCAACACTTTACATGTTGCATTTATATTTTTGTTCAGTGTAGAACATATGTTCAAGAGAAATATTACATTTCAGTGATAAAACCTCTGATCTGTGTTACAGTATTGAGTAGCCTAATATTAATGCTTCTCTGATTTTGTTTCAGGAACGCAGTGGCAACAACTCCTATACTCATGACGCCTTGAGTCTTAAGTACAAACTCGATAATGAGTTTGAGCTGGTTTTTGTGGTAAGTTTCACATAGTAAATGTGATTATAATGTACTGTAGTTCTATTTCCTGAAGGAAAAGACCATACTAGCATACAGCAGTGTTTGCTTCTTATGCAGTCTTATGGTGTGGACTCCAAACTGACCATGTTTCTCTTCCTTTTTTTTTTTTTTTTTTTATTTTTTACAGGTGGGTTTTCAAAAAATCCTGTCGCTGACGTATGTTGACAAGTTCATAGATGACGTACAGCTCCACTTCAGGGATCGCTATAAGAATGAGCTGGAGCAAAAGGGGGCCCTTACACTGTTGAACAGCCATTTTGCGTTTGAGGATGACTTCAAAATGCTTCTTCGGTAAGCAGTGCCACATCTTAGGGCTGATAAGGGTGCATAAAGAGATAAGATTCTACTTTCAAACTAATTTGCTGAATCTCACACACAACCAGCTGTTGAGTTGTCAACCCACAGGTCTACAAGGACCTGTACACTACTTGTACAAAATATAATTTCACAATACTTCAAGTCAAATGCTATATGCTTTGATTCTAATGTTACTGTCCTGTTGTGCTCTAGTGAGGCAGAGGAGAGCAGCAAAGCTCGAGGTCCCACCTCCATGAGGAGCTTCAATGCTTCCCTGAAATCCCAGAAAACTGTGAAGTCCATGATTGAGACGAAGGGAGGGGATAAGGGCAAGGAACAGGGTGGCAAGAAGAATAAGAATGCCAAAAAAGAGGGTAAGGATTTGACGTGATTATTATGGAGGTTTTGTTGGAATACAAGCACTTTGTAATGGTTCTTCCTTACACAATTTCTGTTTTGAAACCAGTCCCAAAAAATTTTTTTCTTCATGTTTTAATTTCATGGGGATATTGATAATGTTTTGTATGGCTGGGGTTAGTTTCTGATATCTTCCCCCTAGCTCCTACTGCTGAGCCTGTGAAAGGGGAACAAGCCAAGGCTCCGGCCAGTGCCCAGAAGACAGTGGAGAACGGTAACCAGGGCTTGACCCAGGAGGAGATCATTCAGAAGAAGAGAGAGGAGTTTATACGCAAGCGCATGGGGGCACCTGCAGAGAAGCCCAGGTGAGTGGGGGGGAAGAATGGAACACAATGTGGTTAAAGTTTTCATTCGGAATGTTACTGACAGTTGTTTCAGTACTGAAAGTCACATTGTCTCTTGCCTTCCAGTAAATCCCCCAAGCCTGCGAAGGAGAAACCCAAGGGGAAAGAGAAGCGGGTGTGGACCTTGGGTGGCAGCAGCACCAAGGAACTGGACTACAGCCAGAGCAATGGCAATGAAGCCCATGTTGCTGGGGACCAAGGCCTGGACGCTCAAGCTGACCCGGTATGTGCCTGTTGGGTTTGAGAGCAGCAGAGCTAATATTGCCTGGTTGTACCAGACTGAATTCTGTGCTCACATTATTTGAAAAGTGAAATAATGGTGAGTGCAGTGGTCAGTCTGGTTTAACCAGACTAGAGCTAATAGCCTTCAGGGATGCTCTGTTAGTACCTTGATAAATAAGGCCCATGTGGTGTAGAAGTGCTTAGTTTATAGGAATTGCACATCTTAATAAAGCCTTTTCTTGTTGTCCAGGGAATGCAGCTGAGCTCGATGAAGGGTGACTTGCTCGCCGTGGATTACGAGTCCAGCGAGGGAGATGAGGAGATGGAGGAGGAAGATGAGGTGGAGAGGGTGGTAGTTGCTGACACAAGCAAGAAAATGTGAGATCCTTAGATTATTACATGTGTCAGAAAATACGAAGCATGGCTGAGGAATGGATAATATGAATGTGACGTTGTGCCCTGTTGCACCTGTCTAAGTATCCTTTTTACTATTATTTTTTTAGCCCCAAAAAGGGTGCTTTTGGGGGGATGTTTGGGATGCTCAAGGGCCTGGTGGGTTCCAAGAGTCTGAGCCAGGAGGACATGGAGCCAGTGCTGGACAAGATGAGGGACCACCTCATCGGTATGGAGTCCTCTGTTCCCCCACTACACTATCAGTTCCTTAACACATACACTCCCCTACGTATTTATTTGGACAGTGAAGCTAAAACTTTTAATTTGGCTCTATACTCCAGCATTTTGGATTTGAGATACAATGTTTCATATCAGGTGACAGTACAGAATGTCACCTTTTTATTTTGGGGTATTTTCATATCTGTTTTACCGTTTAGAAATGAAAGCATTATGTATCTAGTCCCTCCATTTTGAAGGTGTCATAAGTATTTGGACAAATTCACTTGTGGGGTAGTCAAAAGTTTAGTATTGGTTCCATATTCCTAGCATGCAATGACTACATCAAGCTTGTGACTACAAACTTGTTGGATGCATTTGAAGTTTGTTTTGGTTGTGTACAGATTATGTTGTGCCCAGTAGAAATGAATGGTAAATAATGTCGTCATTTTGGAGTCACTTATGGTGAATAGAATATGTTCCTGAACACTTATACATTAGATAATCCTGAATTAATTGTGAATAATGATGAGTGAGAAAGTTAGAGGGATAATATCCCCCCCCCCCCCCCCCCCCCCCCCCCCCCCCCCCCACACACACACACACACACACAAAATGCTAACCTCCCCTGTTATTGGTAATGGTGAGAGGTTAGCATCCCTTGGGAGTAGGATCTTTGTGACTAACTTTCTCACTCATCATTATTAATGATTAGTTCATGGTAGCATCCACATGTACTTTAAATGGGGGGACTACATACATAACGTGCTTCTCATTTCGAAACAGTTAAACAGATACGTATGAAAATACCCTCAAATAAAAGGTGACATTCTGTACTGTCGCCTCATATGAAACATTTGACCTCAAATCCAAAATTCTAGAGTATAAAGACAAATGTTTTATCTTCACTGTCCAAATAAATACATAAGGGAGTGTACATAACTAGCTGACCTTGATTTGTTCATGTCCTAGTTCACCTGAGGGAAAAGCTTCAGTCTACTTGTATTCATAGAATTTTGTCATCTATTTTTCTTTGCAGCTAAGAATGTAGCAGCCGAAATTGCCTCCCAACTCTGTGACTCTGTAGCCAAGAAACTGGAGGGTAAAGTCATGGGTACCTTCACCAGTGAGTACAACTGTCTTCCACCCAGCCAGTCAGAATAGAATAAGTCCACAATAGAATGAGTTCAACTGTGGAGAGATTGAAGTGAACTAGATAGACTTCTCTCTCCCAAAGAGATGCAAAGACGCTGCACAACAGTTGAGAGTATACCTCTTGCTCTTATAAAGCCCCCCTCTCCCTCTAGCTGTGGCCTCAACAGTAAAAGGGGCCCTGCAGGACTCCCTGGTCCAGATCCTACAGCCCAAGCGGCGTGTGGACATCCTGAGAGACGTCCTGGAGGCTCGGAGCCAGCGCAGGCCCTTCGTCATCACCTTCTGTGGGGTCAACGGGGTCGGCAAGTCCACCAACCTGGCCAAGGTGAGATCTACCAGTGACAGTGTTTTTATTGTGTGTTTTTTTTTCTGTTAATCCGACATATTGAAAACATTGGTATTGCTGGGGATTCCAAACCTGGGTTGCATCCATTTAACCAAACCAGGTCCAGGTTGGAACTTTCAAGCCAAACCATGACCTAGATAAATAGGCCACTGATAACCTAGGAAGCCCCCATTCAGAGCACAGAAAAATCAGCAGGGAAAATCTATTTTTATTTGCTGAAACCCTCAATCCTCTGTGTGCAGATCTCCTTCTGGCTGATCGAGAACGGTTTCACCGTGCTGATAGCAGCCTGTGACACATTCCGTGCGGGGGCCGTAGAGCAGCTGCGTACCCACCAGCGCCGCCTTAACTCCCTGCACCCCCCTCAGGATCACGGGGGACGGCCCGTAGTGCAGCTTTATGAGAAGGGCTACGGAAAGGACGCCGCCGGCATCGCCATGGAGGCTATCGCCTATGGTAACCATACCATGCCCCAGCCTGCCATTCATAGATTATACATTTTAGCCCCATAGTATGCCATAGCTCTTATGTCTGTCCTCAATTAAATGTATGGTGATATGTAGGAGGGGTTCACGAATGTGTCTTAATGTACCACATATAAACTGAGTATACGGACCAAGTCAGACGTCCATTCAACCAAGTGAAGAAATCCTCCCTTGTCTCCCCCTCTGTCTCTCGGTCCAGCCCGTAACCAGGCCTTTGATGTGGTGCTGGTGGACACTGCTGGGCGGATGCAGGACAACACCCCCCTGATGACGGCCCTGGCCAAGCTGATAGCTGTCAACATGCCTGACCTGGTGCTGTTTGTGGGGGAGGCTCTAGTGGGCAACGAGGCTGTGGACCAGCTGGTGAGAGTCCTTTTAGAACATGTTATATTTTAACACCCTACTGTTTAATCTGCCTCTGAAACGCAGATCCCTAGAAGGTAAAAAACTGACTAACTGTCAAATTAATTCACATGCATTTTGGATACTCTTCAGATTATTTTGGATTATGTTATAGCTTCAGGTTTTTATGGATCAAAAAGGGGCCCCCATCTTGGCGGTAGAATTTCTAAGCCAATTTCCTGCAATTTTAGAAAATTGAGAAATGTTTTGTTCTTTTAAAGCGAATTTCCTGTAATTCTACCATGGAGCTGAGAGAACTTATCAGTTCTAAAGCTAGTTTCCTGCAATTCTAAGCATTTTGCCATGGCTAATGCTGTGTTTTGCTAATACGAGAACAAAATGAATAGTGGTAAATTCTGCAAAATGTTCAATTCACCCTGACTGTCTAGCTTTTATTTGGGTTATTGTTACTTCTCAAAGATATTATTAAAAAATGTATAGGCCCATTTATCTTTTCAACATACTTTCTGTTTTTTGTCATTTAAGTTTACACTGAAAGTGTTTCTCCATCCCGAAAATAGATTGCTTTTTTTACACTGTTTGGATTTAGGTGACCTGAAACGCTTAAGCGGCCCACCCAAGGATTAAAATGGCAGAAAAATCTGTGCGCTTTTGCTGTACTTACAACCCTAGAAAGTTGAAATGGGCTATGCTATCGGATTATAAATGGTGTATTTTCAATATTGACGTGCAAAGGGCACATTTTACATTTCAGTCATTTGGCAGACACTCAGATTTTTCACCTAGTAGGCTCATGGATTTGAACCAGCAACCTTTCGGTTACTGACCCACTCTGCTTAATGGCTAGGCTACCTGCGCCTACTGTAACTGTTTGTTGATTTGCATAGCTGTCTCATGTTGCACTCCACACTGTATAACGAGTGCGATAATTTACTTTCAGGTGAAATTTAACCAGGCGCTGGCTGATCACTCCATGTCTGATAAGCCTCGTCTCATCGATGGGATCGTTCTCACCAAGTTTGACACCATTGATGACAAGGTTCGTATGTCATTAAATAAAATACGTTTCCTGATCTTATCTCTGATATAGGATAGACACTTCAGAAGAAACATTTTTATATTTTGTTGGGACTATCTGTTGTTCCATGTAGTGAGTCTGTTATTCAATCTGTTTGTATGGGCTAATAGCAGTAAGGCCCCAACATTTCTTTCATCAAATATATACACTACCGGTCAAAAGTTTTAGAACACCTACTCATTCAAGGGTTTTTATTTTTTACTATTTTCTACATTGTAGAATAATAGTGAAGACATCTAAACTATGAAATAACAGATGGAATCATGTAGTAACCAAAAAAGTATTAAACACATCAAAATATTTTATGAGATTCTTCAAATAGCCACCCTTTGCCTTGATGACAGCTTTGCACACACTTCGCATTCTCTCAACCAGCTTTGCCTGGAATACTTTTCCAACAGTCTTGAAGGAGTTCCCACATATGCTGAGCACTTGTTGGCTGCTTTTCCTTTACTCTACGGTCCAGCTCATCTCAAACCATCTCAATTTGGTTGAGGTCGGGGGATTGTGGAGGCCAGGTCATCTATGCAGCACTCATCACTCTGCTTCTTGATAAAATAGCCCTTACACAGCCTGGAGGTGTGTTGGGTCATTGTCCTGTTGAAAAACAAATGATAGTCCTACTAAGCCCAAACCAGATGGGATGGCATATTGCTGCAGAATGCTGTGGTAGCCATGCTGGTTAAGTGTGCCTTGAATAATAAATAAATCATAGTGTCACCAGCAAAGCACCCCCACACCATAACACCACCCCCTCCATGCGTTACGGTGGGAAATACACATGCGGAGATCATCCGTTCACCCACACCGCGTCTCACAAAGACATGGCAGTTGGAACCAAAAATCTCAAATTTGGACTCATCAGACCAAAGGACAGATTTCCACCGGTCTAATGTATATTGCGCGTGTTTCTTGGCCCAAGCAAGTCTCTTCTTCTTATTGGTGTCCTTTAGTAGTGGTTTCTTTGCAGCAATTTGACCATGAAGGCCTGATTCACATAGTATCCTCTGAACAGTTGATGTTGAGATGTGTCTGTTACTTGAACTCTGAAGCATTTATGTTGGCTGCAATTTCTGAGGCTGGTAACTCTAATGAACTTATCCTCTGCAGTAGAGGTAACTCTGGGTCTTCCATTCCTGTGGCGGTCCTCATGAGAGCCAGTTTCATCATAGCGCTTGATGGTTTTTGCGACTGCACTTGACGTTCTTGAAATGTTCCGTATTGACTGACCTTCATGTCTTAAAGTAATGATGGCCTGTTGTTTCTCTTTGCTTATTTGAGCTGTTCTTGCCATAATATGGACTTGGTCTTTTACCAAATAGGGCTATCTTCTGTATACCCCCCCCCACCTTGTCACAACACAACTGATTGGCTCAAACGCATTAAGAAATTCCACAAATTAACTTTTTAAGAACGCACACCTGTTAATTGAAATGCATTCCAGGTGACTACCTCATGAAGCTAGTTGAGAGAATGCCAAGAGTGTGCAAAGCTGTCAAAGGCAAAGGGTGGCTATTTGAAGAATCTCAAATATAAAATATTTTGATTTGTTAAACACTTTTGTGGATACTACGTGATTCCATGTGTTTATTTAATAGTTTGTCTTCACTATTATTCTACAATGTAGAAAATAATAAAAAATAAAGAAAAACCCTTGAATGAGTAGATGTTCTAAAACTTTTGACCGGTAGTGTATATTTATATTTCAAGGGGTCTTACAATTCAAAACCAAATGGCAAAATTATCCTTGGTATGACCATCTTAAAACAATTCCATATAGCTTAGTAGAACCCTCCACCCCCCTCTCGGTTTAACAGAAGTCACTGTAAACAAAATGTGAAAGTTATGACAATGATTTATTGATGGGAAGTCAAAGCTTTTTAAATGCTGTTTATGACGTCCTCTGTCAGAACAGTAGTCTCTGTGGTTGCAAAGCTGACGTCACTCCTCCCCTCAGGTTGGCGCTGCAATCTCAATGACCTACATCACAGGGCAGCCCATTGTGTTTGTGGGCACGGGGCAGACCTACAACGACCTGCGGAGCCTCAACGCCCGCGCTGTGGTGGGTGCCCTCATGAAGGCCTGAGTGGCTGCTGCCCGCATCTGTGTTCACCACCATCATGACAAAGCCAACCAAACACCGCGCTTTGATGTCCGGTCGTGCTAACCCTGTGCTGCGGTTCACATCCTAACTACGAGATAGTACCAAACGCAAAACTCACAAGCTTCCTCCCAGCGCCGTCCGGGAAAGGGGCGTTGACTTTTAAGCAAGATTTGGAAAGTGAGAAATTGTACTAAGAAAGCCTCTTGCATCATCTGTAAACGGTTGGGCCAAATTCAAAAGTACCTCAATTTTGTTTAGCTTTAAAATGATGTGGTGAAGTTCTACAAGAGACACATTTCCTGACTTTATCTGATCAAATAGAGAATATTTGTCCTCACTCACAGGTTACTCAGATTTGTCAAATTCACTTCCTGGCATAGTGTCTGTTTTCCCCTGTCACTTCAACAAGAAAATGTCAGGTATGAATTCTTGCTGGATGCGACATTTCAGCAGCCACCTGTCCCCGAGGAAAGCTTAGTGACCATAGTGCCTATCCCGTCTCCCTGAAGCATCACCATTGCACAGGTGACCGTCTGTCTGCTGAGAACTTCATCAATAAGCCTGTACTACACCCAGTAACTATCTTCTCTGTTTGTCTCCGGATGGACTGCTAGTTGAATGAACCTTCAGTTTGTGGTGGAGGTGAAGAGAGAACTTGAGTTATTAAATTTTGGGGGGTTAAGTCTTCAAGGATCTACACCTTAGTCTCTGGAGAACTGGAGCACTAGCAGGCCTGATTTAGCTTTTCTTTAGATTTCTTCCCCTTTGTCATTTTGAAAACAAAAATACAAGTCTTACATTTTTCCAGTCCCTTTAATTTGCAATAGTGCAATGAGAATCGAGAGTTATATAGATTTGTCAATTTATGAGAATGTAAAAATTTCTAAATAAAGCTGCTATGATAGCCTGTAATAGCTTACGTACTTTTATACGTTTTCCAATTCCAACCTTGGAACATAAATGCTGATAGTGTGGTCTGGATAACAATGGCAAAATGTCAGTTGTCATCTCTTGGCAACACGGAAAAGTATTGCGGCGACTGGTGTACAGGGCATTCGGGAACTATTCAGACCCCTTCGCCTTTTCCACATTTTGTTACGTTACAGCCTTATTCTAAAATTGATTAAATTATTTTTTTTCCACTCAATCTACACACAATGACAAAGGAAAAACAGGTTTTTAGAAATGTGCTAATTTAAAGATAAGGTATGTTTATGTAAATAAGTATTCAGACCCTTTGCTATGAGACAATTGAGCTCAGGTGCATCTGGTTTCCATTGATCCTTGATTGAATTCCACCTGTGGTAAATTCTATTGATTGGACATGATTTGGAAAGGCACACACCTATCTATATAAAGTTGACAGTGCATGTCAGAGCACAAACTAAGCCATGAGGTCGAAGGAATTGTCCGTGGAGCTCCAAGAAGATGATTGTGTCGAGGCAAAGATCTGGGGAAGGGTACCAAAAGATTTCTGCAGCATTTAAGGTCCCCAAGAACAAAGTGGCCTCCATCATTCTTAAATGGAAGAAGTTTGGAACCACCAAGACTCTTCCTTGAGCTGGCTGCCTGGCCAAACTGAGCAATCTGGGGAGAAAGGCCTTGGTCAGGGAGGTGACTAAGAACCCAATGGTCACTGACAGCTCCAGAGATCCTCTGTGGAGATGAGAGAACCTTCCAGAAGGACAACCATCTCTGCAGCACTCCACCAATCAGGCCTTTATGGTAGGGGCCAGACGGATGCCGCCACTCAGTAAAAGGCACAGAACAGCCCACTTGGAGTTTTCCAAAAGGCACCTAAATGACTGACCATGAAAAACCAAGATTCAACTCTTTGGCCTTAATGCCAAGCGTCACGTCTGTAGGAAACCTGGCACCATCCCTACGGTGAAGCATGGTGGTGGCAGAATCATACTGTGGGGATGTTCTTCAGCGGCAGGGACTGGGAGACTAGTCAGGATCGAGGGAAAGATGAACGGAGCAAAGTACTGTGATAACCTGCTCCAGAGCGCTCAGGACCTGACTCGGGCGAAGGTTCACCTTTAACAACCCTAAGCACACAGCCAAGACAATGCAGGAGTGGCTTTGGGACAAGTCTCTGAATGTCTTTGAGTGGCCCAGACTTGAACCCGATCAAACATCTCTGGAGAGACCTGAAAATAGCTGTGCAGCGACACTCTCCATCCAACCTGACAGAGCTTGAGGATCTGCAGAGAAGAATGGGAGGAACTCCCCAAATACAGGTGTGCCAAGCTTGTAGCGTCATACCCAAGAAGATGCTTCAACAAAGTACTGAGTAAAGGGTCTGAATACTTATGTAAATGTTATTTCATTTGTATTTATTTTTAGCATAAATTATCACCTGTTTTTGCTTTGTCATTATGGGGTATAGTGTGTAGATTGAGGGGAAGAAAACTATTGAATCCATTTTAGAATAAGAATAACAAACTGTGGAAAGAGTCAAGGGGTCTGAATACTTTCCGAATGCACTGTATGATACCCAAAGGTTTAATTTTTTTAAAATAGCACTTAAATACCTTCACAGATTTCACAAAACATGCAGTATTAATACAAAAGACTTATAAAGGACAGTATACAATCTTTTTTTTTTCAGCACGAGTGGCCAAGTGATTGTTACTTTACAAAGATGCCTCTCCTAACTCAATGGAACGTCACTCTGCTGAACTTGCAGACAAGATTCTCAAAACTTTTAAACATGTTTGCCATACACATGTAACCATCCTTAACTGTATCAAGTATTGCTTCACAGATTGAACACTGAATTTGCTGCTTTCAAGTTAGCATTGAATACTGGCTTGTGTTATTTTCAGAGTCTACATGGTTAACACCTATTGATGCTGTATGCTTTGAGACTTGACAGTTTTATAAGAGGACGGCATTGTTGATCCTAAAGGGGGGAGGATGGGAAGAGCTGTGTACTGTATAGTATGTGGATCAGAGGAGGCTGGTCTATAGGAGGACAGGCTCATTAATGTCTGGAATAAATGGAACGGTATCAAACATATGGAAACCACGTTGGACTCGGTTCCATTCAAGCCATTATAATGAGCCCGTCCACCTCTGATGTGGATGTGTTGTGCTGCATTTTCGCCAAGCCTGCTTCTCTTCAAACTCAAGGAGTCTTTAGCATATCTAGGTCCTCAGTACTGTCCACTGGACTAACTGACTACATCCATTCAGGACAGGATTCATTTCCAAATTATGTTGATTGAGAAACCAGATCAGGGACCTGTCCTTATGTCATCCCTACTTCACACATCTATCAGTCTTCCATTGCCCTTTCCAACATCCTATTCCAGATGTCAGGGTGTAGGGAAACATTTAAATTGGGTTGCCAGGGTGTACAGCTGCTTTAAGTTTACTTTCCTGTTAGCTCCTTGGCTGGGTCTTTCCCTTTGTCATGACAACCGGTCCAGAAGAAAATAAAAACAATAAGCGGGTGACTAGAGAGTAGTAACATGGGTCTCTTCTGGCCCATATCTGCCTGGAGGAGTTGTAGTAGTAGATCCAATGAAACCAGACCTGAACTCTGAAGGAAATGTGGATGAAAATGACTGATACTCCCGCTTGTTTTGTGCCTGTCAAGAAGGATAGTCTGGGCAGAAGGAGAACAGGTAAAATACAAGGACCAACAACTGTATATTACCACGGACTGCCATGCATTACAGGTAAGCCAGTTGTGTGTAGGGGGTATGAATTCCAATGCAGTTTTCGCTTATGAAAAGCCTGGATATAAGCTTAATAAAAATGTATATTCTAAAAGCATGCAGGGGAAAACTGGTTCTAAGATGGGAGGATGAAGTGGATTTTGGGAAATGCCTCTCGCATGCGAGCACTGACAAAAGAGACACAGACAATCCTAACCTTGAAGGAGGCTTTTCTGTGAATGAAAGCCATTCTGGGTTTCCTGTTCTTCTTGGGAGGGAGATCCTATGAAAATCAATGAAATCAACAGATTAACAATAAATAATAGTGAGAGCAAACAAAGGAGCACCTCATGTTTAAACACAGGCAAATGTAACTCGGCTCACTAAAATAGAAATCCACAGTAGCATCACCGTAACATAAGAGCCCTAAATAGATAGTTTTATGATTTACACAAACATACCACCAAATAATAAGTGATCTATTGTAGGAAATGGATACAGTATGATTACTAAACATACAGTGAGAGAGTAATTTAACTGAAACTGGCTTCCTTACCCCAGCCGTTAGTGACAGCGTCGCGGTTGCAGATCTCGTTGGCCAGCCGTTCAAAGTACTCGGGCAGGTCGGAATACTCGTTGCCGTAGGAGATTACCTTGATACCCTTGTCCAGCATGTTGTCCCGCAGCTTCTTGAACTCTCCCACGTCCTCGCGCCGCACCAGCATGAAGTGCTCCAGGTCCGACTTGTGTTTGACCGCCTCCAGGAACAGAGCCTGGAAGGTGGTGTCGTCCACCGTGCGCCCACAGCCCAGGAACACAAACGACTTGGTCTCATACAGTTTCTGGATCTCCCTCTGTCAAACCAATGGAGTTCAGTTTGCATTAAGACACTGACAGAATTGACTTTTCTACAATTTAACACAATGCGATGGGTCTTAAATTGGTTGAAAAATGTTTTACTGCTAAGTGCTGAAACATTTCCAGGGAATCATTTAGAAAGGCTGCCCGTCTCAATGCTCACCATGACCTCAGTGTTCCTCAGTACATTCTGGTAGCCAGCAGGGTGCAGTACAATACCGCTGGGATTCGTGTAAACACCGTGAATGTGCAAAACACTCAGACTTCTCTTCCCCTGAGCCCACTCCAGGACCTACACACACACACACACATTTCACAGTCCATCACACCAAATCCTGTTCTCACTGGGTAGGGAGTAACACCGCTAATGTCAGACAGGGATCTTAGTCCTGATGGAGACTGCATAAATACCGCACCTGAAGGTCAATATCGCAGGCTTAATACATAGATACATGTGAATCATTTAAAAAGATAGTCAATTATTTTAATGCATCTACATAAATAACAATCCATGTTGGGTCCCTGCTAAGGTAAGGGATAGTGTTCATAAGTTCTGCTTAAGGAAAAATCTATTTGTCATGTTAGTTCCTATTTCTGATCAAATACCATTATTGATTAATCCATAAATGTTAAGAACAGTTGGATGAACTTTGAACTCACCATATGCTAACTACATCCTACTTCTGTCAGAGACAAAATACCTTCACAGGTCAATGCATTGACCATTTTGTCTAGTTTAAAGACATATGTTGGGCTTTGAATCAAATACTTTCCTTTGAATTCACCTTCAATAAGCCTTAAACAATGTTTTATGTGTAAGAGCATTCCCTGTGCTGTGAGCCTAAACCTGTGATAGTAGTATAGTTAAACTGTCATGCCCTCAGTCTTTCATAGACAACTTCCCCTAACAGCTCTGATGGCATCTTAAGGTCACATGGGGCCAAAGCCTATGTTCCAATGTCCACACTTGCATACCACTTAGAATACATGCCCAATATATTGCTTCCATAGATATGACAAATGTAAAACATTTAACGTTTAAACTGCAATTGTTTTTATCCTTTAAAACATTCTGGAAAAAAATCATTAAAATGACATGTGAATTACAATGCAGATCTGGTCCAATGCGGTTCCATCTACCATTGGCTACCAGACGGCGCTCACGTTACTGCTGTGCCCAACCCACTAAGCAACAAATGGTAGTTAATGTCATTTTTAGGTTCTCTGCTGTGTGCCTCTCCTCCATGTTCTCAGTGGTCAGCACATGTGACATAATGTCCCACTGCTCATCAATGTGATGGCTCATTGCAGTGATGTATGACAGCGTGTTCATAGACGTCCAACAATCTGTTGTTAATGCCACTTATGGGGTGTCTGAGAGCTCACACTTCATACTTGCAGAGCAATCATTGTACAATTTCTCCATCCAGGCTGTCTGGTTCTCGATATGCCATCAGGGCATTGAAGCGGACATCCTCTACCATTGACAATGGCTGCATATCAACTGCAATCATTTCTGTAATCAGGGCTCTCTTTTTCTCACTCTGTCCCTTATTGCACTTCTTTGGCGTGAAGAGCCTGTCTAATGTCTGTTGTTGGGGTCCTGCGCTACTGCCAGCAACGGTTCAAATGGTTAAGCATTGCACCTGTACTGCCACTGTAGCTCAATTCCACCTCGCAAAGTTTGCATTTCACCACCTTCTCATTTCACTTCTCTTCTCAAAGTATTGCCATACATGACTTCACGGTTGTTGCGTTCCTGTCTCACTCTGCCATTTTTCCAACAGTTAATGACTATGACGTGCGGAGTGCTTTATATCTGTGGCAAATAATTTCAAAGATACACATCTCCTACGAACATTACAGCATTGTTGTGTTAGGTATTTAAAAAAAATAAAAATAAATGATGATTGGGACCTGTTTGTGGTAGTTTTGTGATAACTCCACTGATATTTTCTAAACGATAATCCCAATTTCATTTAAACGTTCATGCTTCATAGTGAAGTGGTATGCTAGTGTAGCTTCTGCAACAGAGCCTAGATCTGCATTACCTAACTAATACACTACATGACCAAAAGTATATGGACACCCCTTCAAATTAGAGAATTTGCTATTTCAGCCACACCCATTGCTGACAGGTGTATAAAATCGAGCACACAGCCATGCAATCTCCATAGACAAACATTGGCAGTAGAATGGCCCGTACTAAAGAGCTTAGTGACTTTCAATGTGACACTGTCATAGGATGCCACCTTTCCAACAAGTCAGTTTGTCAAATTTCTGCCCTGCTAGAGCTGCCCGTTCAACTGTTCGTGCTGTTATTGTGAAGTGGAAACATCTAGGGGCAACAACGGCTCAGCCGCTAAGTGGTAGGCCACACAAGCTTACAGAACGGGACCGCCGAGTGCTGAAGCGTGTAAAAATCGTCTGTCCTCGGTTGCAACACTCACTACAGAGTTCCAAACTGGAGTTATTCACTGCGTTAGCACACTCAGCCAACCCTGATGTTCTAGCAGTGTCTGAATCCTGGCTTAGGAAGGCCACCAAAGATTCTGAAATGTCCATTCCCAACTACAACATTTTCCGTCTAGATAGAACTGCCAAAGGGTGCGGAGTTGCAATCTACTGTAGAGATAGCCTGCAGAGCTCTATCGTACTATCCAGGTCTGTGCCCAAACAGTTTGAGCTTCTTCTTCTAAATATCCACCTCTCTCTCACTGTTGTCGCTTGCTACAGACCCCCCTCAGCCCCCAGCCGTGCCCTGAACACCATATGTGAATTGATTGCCCCCCCATCTATCCTCAGAGTTCGTATTGCTTGGTGACCTAAACTGGGACACCCCGGCCGTCCTACAATCTAAACTAGATGCCCTCAATCTCACACAAATTATCAAGGAACCTACCAGGTACAACCCTAAATCCATTAACATGGGCACCCTCATAGATATCATCCTGACTAATTTACCCTCTAAATACACCTCTGCTGTCTTCAACCAGGATCTCAGCGATCACTGCCTCATTGCCTGCGTCCGCGGTCATACGACCACCCCTCATCACTGTCAAATGCTCCCTAAAACACCTTTTTTACATTTTAGTCATTTAGCAGATGCTCTTATCCAGAGCGACATACAGTTAGTGAGTGCATACATTTTTCTACTGGCCCCCCACTTCAGCGAGCAGGCCTTTCTAATTGACCTGGCCTGGGTATCCTGGATGGATATTGACCTCATTCCGTCAGTAGAGGATGCCTGGTTGTTCTTTAAAAGTGCTTTCCTCTCCATCTTAAATAAGCATGCCCCATTCAAAAAATTCAGAACTAAGAACAGATATAGCCCCTGGTTCACCCCAGACTTGACTGACATTGACCAGCACAAAAACATCCTGTGGCATACGGCATTAGCATCGAACAGCCCCCGCGATACGCAACTTTTCAGGGAAGTCAGGAACCAATATACACAATCCATTTGGAAAGCAAAGGCTAGCTTTTTTAAACAGAAATTTGCATCATGTAGCACTAACTCCAAAAAGTTTTGGGACACTGTAAAGTCCATGGAGAATAAGAGCACCTCCTCCCAGCTGCCCACGGCACTGAGGCTAGGAAACACTGTCATTACCGATAAATCTACGATAATCGAAAATTTCAACAAGCATTTTGCTACGGCTGGCCATGCTTTCCACCTGGCTACCCCTACCCCAGCCACCAGCTCTGCATCCTCCGCTGCAACTTGCCCATGCCCCCCCCCCGCTTCTCCTTCACCCAAATTCAGAAGACAGCTGATGTCATGAAAGAGCTGCAAAATTCGGGACCCCTACAAATCAGCTGGGTTAGAAATTGTCGCAACCCCTATCACCAGCCTGTTCAACCTCTTTTTCGTATAGTCTGAGATCCCCAGAGATTGGAAAGCTGCCGCGGTCATCCCCCTCTTCAAAGGGGGTGACACTCTAGATCCAAGCTGTTACAGATCTATATCCAACCTGCCCTGCGTTTCGAAAGTATTTGAAAGCCAAGTTAACAATCAGATCACCAACCATTTAGAATCCCACTGTACCTTCTCCGCTATGCAATCTGGTTTTCGAGCTGGTCATGGGTGTACCTCAGCCACGCTCAAGGTCCTAAACGATATAATAACACGTGATTGATAAAAGACAGTACTGTGCAGCCGTCTTCATTGACCTGGCCAAGGCTTTTGACTCTGTCAATCACCGCATTCTTATTGGCAGACTAAATAGCCTTGGTTTCTCAAATGACTGCCTCGCCTGGTTCACCAACTACTTCTCAGATAGAGTTCAATGTGTCAAATCGGAGGGCCTGTTGTCTGGACCTCTGGCAGTCTCTATGGGGGTGCCACAGGGTTCAATTCTTGGGCAGACTATTCTCTGTGTATATCAATGATGTCGCCCTTGCTGCTGGTGACTCTCAGATCCACCTCTACGCAGACGACACCATTTTGTATACATCTGGCCCTTCATTGGACACTGTGTTAACGAACCTCCAAACGAGCTTCAATGCCATACAACACTCCTTCCGTGGCCTCCAACTGCTCTTAAACGCTAGTAAAACTAAATGCATGCTCTTCAATCGAACGCTGCTTGCACCCGCCTGCCGAATGCTGCCTATGACCCCAAGAACACCATCCCCACCGTCAAACATGGAGGTGGAAACATTATGCTTTGGGGGTGTTTTTCTGCTAAGGGGACAGGACAACTTCACCGCATCAAAGGGACGATGGACGGGGCCATGTACCGTCAAATCTTGGGTGAGAACCTCCTTCCCTCAGCCAGGGCATTGAAAATGGGTTGTGGATGGGTATTCCAGCATAACAATGACCCAAAACACACGGACAAGGCAACAAAGGAGTGGCTCAAGAAGAAGCACATTAAGGTCCTGGAGTGGCCTAGCCAGTCTCATAGAAAACCTGTGGAGGGAGCTGAAGGTTTGAGGTGCCAAACGTCAGCCTCGAAACCTTAATGACTTGGAGAAGATCTGCAAAGAGGAGTGGAACAAAATCCCTCCTGAGATGTGTGCAAACCTGGTGGCCAACTACAAGAAACGTCTGACCTCTGTGATTGCCAACAAGGGTTTTGCCACCAAGTACTAAGTCATGTTTTGCAGAGGGGTCAAATACTTATTTCCCTCATTAAAATGCAAATCAATTTATAACATTTTTGACATGGGTTTTTCTGGATTTTTTTGTTGTTATTCTGTCTCTCACTGTTCAAATAAACCTACCATTAAAATTATAGACTGATCATGTCTTTGTCAGTGGGCAAACGTACAAAATCAGCAGGGGATCAAATACTTTTTTCCCTCACTGTAGATGTTCTATTGTGTTATTGACTGTACATTTTGTTTATTCCATATGTAACTCTGTGTTGTTTTTTCCGCACTGCTTTGCTTTATCTTGGCCAGGTCGCAGTTGTAAATGAGAACTTGTTCTCAACTGGCTTACCTGGTTAAATAAAGGTGAAATAAAATTAAATTTTAAAAAACTGCCTCTGGAAGCAACGTCAGCACAAGAACTGTTAGTCTGGAGCTTCATGAAATAGGTTTCCATGGCCGAGCAGCCGCACAAAAGCCTAAGATCACCATGCGCAATACGAAGCGTTGGCTGGAGTGGTGTAAAGCTCGCCGCCATTGGACTCTGGAGCAGTGGAAATGCGTTCTCTGGAGTGATTAATCACGCTTCACCATTTGGATGTCCGACGGACGAATCTGGGTTTGGCGGATGCCAGGAGAACGCTACCTGCCCCAATGCATAGTGCCAACTGTAAAGTTTGGTGGAGGGGGAATAATGGTCTGGGGCTGTTTTTCCATGGTTCGGGCTAGGACCCTTAGTTCCAGTGAAGGGAAATCTTAACGCTACAGTATACAATTACATACTAGACGATTCTGTGCTTCCAACTTTGTGGCAACAGTTTGGGGAAGGCCCTTTCCTGTTTCAGCATGACAATGCACCCGTGCACAAAGTGAGGTCCATACAGAAATGGTTTGTCGAGATCGGTGTGGAAGAACATGTCTGGCCTGCACAGAGCCCAGACCTCAACCCCTTCGAACACCTTTGGGATGAATTTGAAAGCAGACTACGAGCCAGGCCTAATCAGCCAACATCAGTGCCGACCTCAGTAATGCTCGTGGCTGAATGGAAGTAAGTCCCCGCAGCAATGTTCCAACATAGTGGAAAGCCTTCTCAGAAGAGTGGAGGCTGTTATAGCAGCAAAGGGGGGGACCAACTCCATATCAATGCCCATGATTTTGCAATGAGATGTTCGACGAGCAGGTGTCCACATACCTTTGGTCATAGTGTATTTTCCGGCAAATCCCGAATTGGCATCCATCCATAAACTGTTATTTCAGTGAAAGTCAGTTATGCACACACAATTTAGAATTTGGCCCTAATGAGCACACAAGGCCATGACTACAGAGATCTTTCTAAAGGGAAAAGGATTTGTTGTTACCTTCTTCTCGTCGGTGAGGTCCAGAGACTCCAGCTTCGATCCCTGGTGGGCTGCGTAGATCTCCAGCAGGTTGTCAAAGTTGGTGGTGAGGACCAGCGCTCCGCTCTCCATCAGCTGTAGTACGGATCGGAGAAGGTGCTTCCCCGCGTTCTCCATCTTACACTCCAGATCGTCAAACACCTCGTACAAACAGTCCTTGAAGAAGGTGGACCGCACATTGCCTGTTCTCTGCAATGATAGGGCAGGAGCACAATGAATAGGGGTTAGTGGGTGTGTATTGTTTATACAGATTATACTGCTGGTAATTAACTACTAGAGGGAGACATTTTATAAAAGTATTTTCTGTTTTTTAAAGGTACAATAAAGTGTTTATGACTGGTTGTTATAGTCATGTAAATGAAAGGTGATTTATTTATTTTTTATCAGTAGCAGTGGCATGTAAACAGTTGCTGTACACGGTGAGCCTAATGGCTATGGAGCAGAGAGTTGGAGGGCAGGCTGTTTGAGTAGCCATGAGATTATGGCCGTCTAATGGATAAATCTCATTACTCAGAGCTACGCAGAACGCACACTCTACCTGGCAGTGGCTGTAGGAAAACAAAGGAGAAGGGCTGGCCCGCTATGAATAGCACTGTCGAGGTGAGCTTAGCACACACAGCACAAGCGAGCTGCCTGGCTGACTGCTGGACTGTCCAGAGATTAGAGATCTAGTGGGCTCATTAACTAACAGGATCCCTTTTCACAGGAAGGAAGTCATTATCACCAAGAGCAAGCATCTAGCTCCCCACTCACCCTGCTGTTGACTTCAGCACTGAACGCATTCTCCTTTTGTTTGAGGACTTATGTAATTACCAAATACTGTAAAAGTAGTACCATGCTCTGATCCTGAGATTGATATAGCCTAGGATTTGACACTAAAGTTTAGTTGTTTTCAACAAATCTAATCCTAAACAGGGAAAGTTGTAATATAATTGCCTTTAGCATTTTGCCTAGGTCATTCAACGACAGCATGAAAGGATTTAGGTCACAAACACGCTGAGTAACCTTCAGATTAGGCTCATTAACCGACATTACGTGCCAAAACACAGCCCTAATCCACAGTTATATAGATTGTTTGGATTGCTCTTGTTATAGCACCAATACTATTGGGTTAAACTGCTGTGTCCCACCCGGTATTTGATCCCTTCTTGAGACAAGGGACACTCCCTTCTCGCAGAAGCCTTGGTTCTCTTCAGCTGTTCTGTGAAAAAGCACCCACTGGTTGAATGAAATTACGTTGAATTGACGTCTGTGCCTGGTGGGCAACAATGTGACCAAAGATTAAACAAGGAGAAGCAATAACACATTTCTCCTTCTACACTCTACGACAGTCCTCAAGCTACAAGAGTCCTCTTTTCAATGTGTTTCCTTCTCTTTACGCTTTCAGCATATTAGGTTCTACAAAATTTGCTATTCAATAGTTTCATGATCCGCTAAAGTTGCATGCCCCGTACTGATAAGATGCTGAACATGTGCAGATAGCAAGCATTGGTGCGCCACAGGCCTAAGAACAGAAAAATATTTGCCACAGGGTCCATGGCTGTGTAATCACCTGATAATTATGTCTCCTATTGTGAGCTATTTAGTCTGGTGGGGCTCTTTGTTATTCCGAGGCTAAATGGAAACCTTGGCTGGGACCGGTGTTCCCGGATTCACATTACTGCGTGATTACATTTTTTTTTTTAAGGCAGTCCCATTAAAATGTTAAAGCCCCCAAATCCATAGCCAACAGCAACGGGCCTGGGAGGTTATTCACTGGGGGGGGATTTCTTCATCAAGCGAATCAAATAACAGGCCTTAAAAGTCCTGTTTAAAATTAGCCTGAGTGCCAGAACTGGTTGAGCCAACTTGTCAGTGGCTTTGAAAACAAGGCATTGAATGATGACGTGTTGTAGTAATCCATCAGTGCTGTACTTTGGTTAGGGCATCACCTTTTATACAGAAACCTGAATCAAATGTTTTAGAATTTAGATAAAACATAGAACTATGCTGACTCCTTGCCTCTGTCATTCCCAGTAGGATTACAAATCCCAATAAAGGAAAATGTACAATTCAAGTCACTGGCGTGTCTCAACCAGCTGGAGACAGTGTGCTGTCCATGTCTGGCTGTCTGTCTGGCTGTCTGTCTGTCTGTCTGTGTGTGCACAGGATTGGGGGAGGGGAAGCCTTACCGGCGAGAGCTTCTGGATGAGGTCATGAGCCACGTGGACTAGGTTCTTGTCCTCCTGCAGGCTCTTCTGAAAACGCCTACTCTCCTCTTCCTCTAGGAGGTCAAAGTCGTTGGCCGCGTCCAACAAGGCCTGGATCAAACCCTTCCAGGAGCGCAACGCAGGGACCTGAGGGGCCACAGCTGAACTCACCCCTGTACCAATAACTAGGACCAGCTCGGGGGCCCGCTTGGTCTTCAGGCTGGGCAGCAGTTTCCTTTGGGGCAGGCAGAGATTGAGTGATGGTTCCATTGATGGTTCCCAAATCCTTAAACAACATGAAGGTTAAACAAATCATGGCAAGTTTACTTGGCTGCTGTTTGAACTCAAACCTAGGCTGAAAAGGTAAAGAATGGGTTTAGGAACAGAAACTAAGAGATAAAGTTCCTGACCAGTCTAATATTAATAATGCATTGGCATATAAACAGGAACAGAGTACTAAATGTAGGCTACTCATATTAGTTTTTGATACCTGGGTTTTTTGGTGTTGGAGTCAACATCCTGAGTATCAGCATGAGCAGGTCGCTTCTCGGTCTTCACAGTCACAACAGAGGCCACAACAGAGGCCATTCGGCTCCTGTAAGAGAACCATGAGATTGAATATACATACAATACCATCAAATCAAAGCAATACCTTAAGTGCAATGCAATCTGGAGTGACCACAGAGAGTCATGATCTCAGTTTAATGTATCATACATAGAACAGCACCCTTACAGGGCAGTAATAACATAACACCAGCAATAACATCTGCTAAATATGTGTATGTGACCAATACAAATTTGATCCCACTGTCCCCTTACTACCAAAGGCAGGGCATCAGATTAACCTTACTCTAGCCTTACATTGAGGAAAATTCATGGGGCTAACCCAGATAAGATGTAAATCACCAAGTACTGTGAGATGCCTAACTATGGGCAATTCCACGGTAACGGAATTAGACTCCCGATTTTTTACTTTAAAATGTATGCCAAACAAAAAACTATTGCTTTCGATGTTTAACAAACCATAAAACTCTATGCACCATGACTACTTTGAACAATTTACACAGTAAAAAAAATCTGCACAGTTTTCCAGTGTGTGTAATATACACACACACACAGTTGAAGTCGGAAGTTTACATACACCTTAGCCAAATACATTTAAAATCAGTTTTTCACAATTCCTGACATTTAATCCTAGTAAAGATCCCCTGTTTTAGGTCAGTTAAGATCACCACTTTATTTTAAGAATGTGAAATGTCAGGATAATAGTTGAGAGAATGATTTATTTCAGCTTTTATTTCTTTCATCACATTCCCAGTGGGTCAGAAGTTTACATACACTCAATTAGTATTTGGTAGCATTGCCTTTAAATTGTTTAACTTGGGTCAAACGTTTCGGGTAGCCTTCCACAAGCTTCCCACAATAACTTGCTCGCACACGTTTTTTCAGTTCTGCCCACAAATGTTCTATAGGATTGAGGTAAGGGCTTTGTGATGGATGGCCACTCCAATACCTTGACTTTGTTGTCCTTAAGCCATTTTGCCACAACTTTGGAAGTATGCTTGGGGTCTTTGTCTATTTGGGAGACCCATTTGCCACCAAGCTTTAACTTCCTGATTGATGTCTTGAGATGTTGCTTCAATATACAGTGGGGGAAAAAAGTATTTAGTCAGCCACCAATTGTGCAAGTTCTCCCACTTAAAAAGATGAGAGAGGCCTGTAATTTTCATCATAGGTACACGTCAACTATGACAGACAAAATGAGAAGAAAAAAAATCCAGAAAATCACATTGTAGGATTTTTTATGAATTTATTTGCAAATTACGGTGGAAAATAAGTATTTGGTCAATAACAAAAGTTTCTCAATACTTTGTTATATACCCTTTGTTGGCAATGACACAGGTCAAACGTTTTCTGTAAGTCTTCACAAGGTTTTCACACACTGTTGCTAGTATTTTGGCCCATTCCTCCATGCAGATCTCCTCTAGAGCAGTGATGTTTTGGGGCTGTCGCTGGGCAACACGGACTTTCAACTCCCTCCAAAGATTTTCTATGGGGTTGAGATCTGGAGACTGGCTAGGCCACTCCAGGACCTTGAAATGCTTCTTACGAAGCCACTCCTTCGTTGCCCGGGCGGTGTGTTTGGGATCATTGTCATGCTGAAAGACCCAGCCACGTTTCATCTTCAATGCCCTTGCTGATGGAAGGAGGTTTTCACTCAAAATCTCACGATACATGGCCCCATTCATTCTTTCCTTTACACGGATCAGTCTTCCTGGTCTCTTTGCAGAAAAACAGCCCCAAAGCATGATGTTTCCACCCCCATGCTTCACAGTAGGTATGATGTTCTTTGGATGCAACTCAGCATTCTTTGTCCTCCAAACACGACGAGTTGAGTTTTTACCAAAAAGTTCTACTTTGGTTTCATCTGACCATATGACATTCTCCCAATCCTCTTCTGGATCATCCAAATGCACTCTAGCAAACTTCAGACGGGCCTGGACATGGCTTGAGCAGGGGGACACGTCTGGCACTGCAGGATTTGAGTCCCTGGCGGCGTAGTGTGTTACTGATGGTAGGCTTTGTTACTTTGGTCCCAGCTCTCTGCAGGTCATTCACTAGGTCCCCCCGTGTGGTTCTGGGATTTTTGCTCACCGTTATTGTGATCATTTTGACCCCACGGGGTGAGATCTTGCGTGGAGCCCCAGATCGAGGGAGATTATCAGTGGTCTTGTATGTCTTCCATTTCCTAATAATTGCTCCCACAGTTGATTTCTTCAAACCAAGCTGCTTACCTATTGCAGATTCAGTCTTCCCAGCCTGGTGCAGGTCTACAATTTGGTTTCTGGTGTCCTTTGACAGCTCTTTGGTCTTGGCCATAGTGGAGTGTGACTGTTTGAGGTTGTGGACAGGTGTCTTTTATACTGATAACAAGTTCAAACAGGTGCCATTAATACAGGTAACGAGTGGAGGACAGAGGAGCCTCTTAAAGAAGAAGTTACAGGTCTGTGAGAGCCAGAAATCTTGCTTGTTTGTAGGTGACCAAATACTTATTTTCCACCATAATTTGCAAATAAATTCATAAAAAATCCTACAATGTGATTTTCTGGATTTTTTTTTCTCAATTTGTCTGTCATAGAAAATAAAAAATAAAAAAATAAATATATATATGTATTCACTAACTGTAAGTCGCTCTGGATAAGAGCGTCTGCTAAATGACTAAAATGTAAATGTACACTCACAGATAGAACACAATGAGACAGCTATTTCACCTGATGTATAAATGTGAAGCATCTGTTTGGCGTTCCCACTCACTACCAAATATGGTAGTAGAGGAAGCCCAATTCCCGGCAGTGGGAAAAGATGGAACGAGATGGATTTTGGCCGACATTCTGCTAATTCTCATCGATTAAACATTTGATCTCAATACAATTTTCTGTTCTCAAAACTATAATCTGTTATGAACAGAGTGGACTAAGTTTTGTAGACTTTACTCTTCGCCAAAGTTTTAAAAAATGGCGTTGTTTAGGAGTGCAAAGGCAAATTGAGTTATTGCACACGCGCACTTCAGAGTTGGCGTTCCCTAACGGAAATATGCGCATGCATGCTTGAACGCGCCAATAGGATCTCGCTAGCTTTTGCTTGTTCTACCCACTATGACTAATTTGTACCCATTTGAAACGACGGCTGTGGTGTATCTTGGTTTAGTTACACAACTCTTTGCTACAATTGTCTGTTCAGTAGAGGGCAAAACTCCGTGAAGATGACGTATGGCGTAATGAAAAACGTCACGACGTGATTTGGGCATTATACTTGCTTTCAATGAGAATGACAGATCTATAACTTACATTTCTATGTGAATTTAGTAGAGTCTCCCAAAAGGTTACATATTGCAGCATTAAAAGGTAGAACTCAAGTTGTGCATAGAGTTCTATGATTTGTTAAACTTTGACATCTTAATTATCTTCATTTCTTACTTCCAAAGTCGTGCGAGAGGCTTATTTATTGTATCTTTATTGCAATAATAGTATTGGTGCTAAACTAGAATTATAATTTCCTCCTTCTGGAGACATTTCCTTAAAAACTTCAACCATGGAAACATATTTTTTTTGGGTGACGTAATCATTTATGATAGCGAAATTTGAATTAAAAAAATTGACCGTACGACAACAATAAACTAAAGTTAGCTTAGCTGACTGTACAGTACACTTATTTGGCTAAATCGTTACTGGCTAGCTGACGTTAGATAGCTAGCTACTAGCTAAGCAAGTGAAGTGCGCTGTCAGGAAGAACTGGCTAACGTTAGCTAACCAGCTGGCAAAAGTTGTACAGTAGGCTATCTAGAATGACGTTGTAAAGTTGAGCTAACTAACTAAAGCTGCGAAATAAGACACACTGGCAAGTTAAATTCACACAAGTATTTACACTTACCCTGATAACTCCAACAAGTTGCTTTTTTGGTCGCGTTAAAGTTAGCTGGCGTGCAACTGCGAGTTAAAAATCAGTCTACCGACATATCCTGCTTTAAAAGACGGTATTTGAGATTGTTGTACTTGACATGGCGAAGTCTGGGTGCCTTTTCCTGCTAGATGTTATCCTTAGGAAATCTATTTAGCTATAAACAATTCTCGACTCACATGCAGCTGGAGTGTGTGTGTTGTAACGAAGATTGAGTTGGACAAGGTATGTCCTCCGCACGCGACTACCACAGAAAGAACAATGAGACAGATATTTCACCGGATGTATAAATGTGAAGCATCCGCTTGGCATTTCCACTCACTGCCAACTATGGTAGTGAAGGAATCCCACTGGCCGGCAGTGGGAGAAGATGGAACGTGATGGATTTTGGCCGGTATTCTGCACATTTTCTCATCGACGAAACATTTGATTTCAATACAGTTTTCTGTTCCCAAAACAAGAATCTGTTATGAACAGAGTGGACTAATTGTTTTACACTTTACCCTTTGCAAAAGTTTTTTAAAATCGCGTTGTTTAGGAGTGCAAAGGCAAATTGAGTTATTGCACACGCGCACTCACAGAGTAGGCATTCCCTAACGGAAATATGCAGATGATGCTAGAACGCGCCAATAGGATCTAGCTAGGCTCTGACCACATCATTGTTTGTTCTGCCCACTATCATTCATTTGAACGACAGGCTGTGGTCTATCTTGGTTTAGTTGTAAAAATCTTTGCTACTACTGTAAATCCCACTACTACTTCTTCTTCTTCTGTGGGTTTTATGGCAGACTACAACCTACAAAAGGTGTATTACCGCCACTAACTGGAAAGGGTTAAAAAAAACTATGTAAAAATAAAACCCATACCTGATAGGGAAAACTAACTTAATCCACCCAAAATAAAACAATAAAAAACCACATTGACAAAACCAAAACCCCCACTTCTTCCTTCCTTCAAATCTCCATATCTCCCTTCTCAGGCTCTATGACCTGAGAGGGTGGTACGGCTTGTGACAATACACCATGCAACTCCTCCGCCGAGAAGTCTTTCAGTCCCAGGAACCGTTCGCCGCATCCACAATGATATCTATTTTCCTGGACTTCCTCTCCACCATGGCAGTGCCATTAATC